TGTGTGTGTATGCTTCGGTGTCTGCGCTCAGAAAACCGGACCGAATTGAGTTCTCTCTTGCGTCGTCAGATTTATCCATATGTCTGCTCTTCTCTTACTCCCACATATTGACATTTTTGAACGTTTTATGCAACTTGCAGCAAGTGTATGTTAGCTTATGTCCCGCCGGTTCATATGTACGCATCTAACCTCCGAACTACGCAGCAGATTCGTTCTGAATTAATCTCTTCCCAAATCGTCCCTCCCTAACATTTTCATCTCGTTTTTATTCGCTGACGAAAATGTCAATAGATTTACATCATAGTTTTTGTCATTCAAAGAGAGTTTTAGTTCGTTATAGTCTCGTTGACGTTGGTGAAAAAAATTATGACGTCAAATTATGACGAAAATTATTCGTCAACGAACTTAACACTGCACTGAAGTCACCACACCTATCCAGAACTCTCGTTCTAAACACAGCGCAGATGATAAAATTTCTTTCACCTCAATAAACCTCACAAACTTCAAACTACAACAACACTGGACAGCTATAAAGAGTCCATAAACAACAGGAGAGCCACAATCACGTAAAAAAAAAAGTCTCACTCTCTAGTGGACACAGACCTCACACTGAGAAATAAACATGAGCACTACCATTCAGGCAGAGTGCAGGCAAGATGTGTGACAAGAACGATTAACTGGCGGTTTGCAGTCTAAAATCAATTTTATATGTACAAAAAAAGCCAGTGCAATGCCAATAGATCTGCCTTAATCCTATTTCCTTCTGCCTTAATCCACATTCTCAGATTCACACTAAAATAAATACAGTTCTTTCTATACTCATGCACTCAGCCTTATGTTTGCTTACAAAAAAAACAACAGCAGTACATTAATCTTTATCTATCTTTGTGGTATAAGAAAAAAGATGCAGCAGACATGATGCTAAGGTACAAGACGAAGAAACCTGTCCGTGGTCTCCCTGAAATTGACAATTCAGTTCTCATAAACTGCTGTCTGCAGGGGAGTTCATATTGTTTAGCAGGGGCCAAGAAAATAAATAAATAAATAACATTGCTTCCTCGGAGCAAAATGTATTTTCTTTGTTTCAACAGGAATCCAGGGACCCGTGGAGGGGGGGGGGGGACGTCGGAGCCG